AAAAAAAAAAAAAAACTTAATGTAAACTTGATTACTTTGTATTTAACTAAGAAAAATTGAGACAAGTGTCCATGAAGACTCATAGAATGACCATCACAGTTTAACCAGAAATAAGCAAAATTGGAAGCAGCCCATATATTCATTAAAAGAATAATGATAGTTATATCCATACAGTGATATACTAGGCAGTATTTAAAAAGAAAAGGAAAAAGATATAGGTATACATGCAACCACATGGGTAAATTTCAGAACCATTGTCCAGAATGAAAGAAGGCTCACACACAAACAATACATACTTAATTGTTAACATGAAATTAAAAAATTGAATATGGTAGGAAAAATATCAGTACAGATGTTGCCTCTGGGAGAACATGGGAGCAATTGTTTGGGGAAGTGCCTGCCAGAACTTTCTGGGAAGTTGGAAATGTTCTATACCTTGATGAGTATTTATATTATTTGTATATATTTAACACCTATCACCAAGTATACACTTAAGAGGTATGCATTTTATTGAATGTAATCTTATTGCAAAGTAAAAACGAACTGAAAATAAATATCGTATGCATGATATATGGCTGATGGTTACATGGATGCTGAATTATATAGGGGATATCAGAATGTTTCAAAATATAAGATGGATTGATGGGATGTAGAGATGAGCTGATGGTAGACGTGTGGCAAGCCAATACTGAATAGCCAAACAATAATGGTAGACTCAAGTGGTAGAATTTTACTTATTGTGAAATTCTCTTCATGTTATTATATGTTTGAAATTTTGCATTTAAAAAAAATCAAGGCACCTATAACTTACTAGATTCTTGGGTGTAATGTTTCAAGCTTCTGCTGACATGGTTAACTTTGAAACCTGGGGGGAGTAGCCTCCTTTCCCATCAAACTGACAGAATAGGTGAAGGTGTAATGCTTACAGTCACTAATCCTGGAGGCTTGTGCATTTATTGTCATACTTTTAGCATATTGATGGAAATGTTAAATTTCTATTTCTAGAGGATTCCTAAACTATTCTCCCCGCCCCCAAACTCTTTTCTGTGTAGAAATCTTCCTGCAATCCTGGACTGGGTGAAAATTCAGAAACCTGGAGCCATGGGTGTCAACATCATCACGTCTGACTTCGTGGACCTGGTGGACTTTGCCACAACTGTTATTGAGTTGAATGACCTTCTACAAGAGGACAGATCATTGGCTAAATGTTGATTTAGTTTTTTGTTTAACTTAATGTTGAAGTTGTTGATTCAGGGTAGAGTTCTGAAGGGTTTCCTGTTAGGATGGCCCCTAGTCACTGATGGTGAAGTGAATAAGGAGGATAAGGGCTTTTTCTTTTCCTTCCTCGCAGGGCCAGTTGGATAAAATTACAGGGCTTTTAATTGCATTTTTCCCAAATGAGACTTTAAAAAAACAAAAACCTTTTTTAAGTCCAAGGGAAGAAAGCATGTTTTATGTGATGGAGAATGGAACATGAAAGTCAGTTCTCCAAGTTGCACTGGAGGATAGAGCTTCCTCTGATTGGCCTAGTTCCCTACTGTCTTCCAGGGTCTCAAGTTTGAGCCATGGCATTGCTGAACTAGAGAGGCATCCCTGGTCAAAAGAATGGCTTGTTGCAGTTGTGGACTGCCTTGCCTGGTACCTCTGACTTTAATCTGGGGGTCTGCACAGGAAGGGCTTCGCCCCAAATCTCTCTCAGACCATTGGATGTCACTGCCTCTTGTCTGACGCTTGACTCTTGAGTGAAACATTTTTATCACCACGGTGTTTCAGCCACAAGCTGTTCGTGCATGGCTTGTGAAGGTAACTGATCACCTTCTTCAGATAAACAGTACCCATTGGCCTTGGTATCAGGATATGTTTTTCACTTTTAAAACATAATCCATTTCTGTTTCTTTTGGCCCCTTCTTAAAAGTGAAAAGAATGATGGTAGAGCTTTTCACTGTGGGACCCAATAAAAGACAGAAATGTGTTTGTTGCATGCCACATTTCTTTAGTTCTGTAGCTTTTCCCAAAATGACTGACAGGTAAGCACCTGTATCATTTTGGCCAAGACCTCTTTGGAGTAGGGTCTTCCAGCCAGATCTGGGAATTGCATTTCGTTGTTGTATGGGACACAGTGCTAAGTATCAGGCATCTTTTCCATGACATCATGGAAGCTGTCACAGGATGTGGGGGAAAGTGCAATGGCATTAAAGGAGAACGCTCCAAGTGGCTTTGGAGCCATTCTGTAACTTCTTGAAAACAAGACTACCTCGGGACATTTAGGATGACTTGTGTGTCATCAAGTGAGAAATACAGTGTTGGAACATTTCCAGCTCTTAGCTTGATTGTTCTACTTTCTGAAGGTTGTTCTGAGCCTACTTAGCACTACTGCATGATGGTTTTGAAACTCAAGGGGGGATTTTCATTTTTATTGAGGGGCTTATCTGTAAGGAGCCCTCTTGCATTTTGATTTATTTATTTATATATATATTTATTTATTTATTTATCTATAGAGTTAGTATTTGCAGTGCTTCTTACCTCAGGAGCGTTCACAGAGAAGCTTATTGAGCTTTTCTTGCCCAGGACAGATTCCGCCACGATCTTCCTCCCCTCAGCAGGACCACATATGCCAGGCTACAATGACCTTGGACTCTGTTCCGAATGTCCTTGCTCCCCCAGGTCTGCTGAGAGCACTGTTTGGGTGGAGCCCACATCAACAGCCCATCACCAACCCATGTCCTTGGATAGAAGATGAAATGGCTCTGCAGAACTCTTCAGCTCATACAGTAGGCTCTCCAGAATTCTGGAAAGAAGGGACCTAGAAATAATACTGGGCATGGGGATGTGGACAGGTCAGTGCCCCTCCACACTTTCAGAGAATCCCAAGGAAGTGTCAGCTTCTGGATTCTTAAGGAGGAAATAAAAACCTGGAATCCTGAATGAAACTGTGCATTTATAGAGACCACTGGACCCTTCGCCCAGCATTTCCTCTTTCCATCCTTTGATTGTATAGCCAGTCGTATGGCACGTTGTCCGCGATGGGAATGTCTTCGGTGAGCTGCTATAAGCACATGCATGCCTCCCTGCTATTGATCTTCCAGCCTTTACTTTCTGTAAAGTAATTTAAGCCCTGACTTTTTTCCTTAGCTCAAGGAAGTCACAACACAAATGATTCTTGGAAAATACGGTTTAACTTGCCCTATTCTTACATTTGAACTGCTCCCTAAAGAGGTTTCTGGAATGGTGATGTCAGATTCTATAGACTGTTCTCTGAATAATGATGAGAAAGGGAGCACCCTTACTTTCTCAGTTTTCCTCTAATTCTGATACTAAATCTCAGTGACAAGCTCTGAATTCCCTGGCCTACCATCAGGGTTTTATTTTTTGTTCTTATTCTTTCATTTTGTTTTGTTTTGTTTTAATTCTTGATCTAGTCCCATGGACTAGATTGGTCCCCCTGTTTTAACCCTTTGGTACTTGGCAAACAGATAAGGAGGCAAGAGAATTGTAGTTCTCTGTTTTATTTCAGCCTCAGCTTAGTTCAGGTGCTTGGTGCTACGAGGCCAGGTGTGTAGACAGGTATCTGCACAGGGTACCAGTGGCACCCAATGGCTGCCGACTGTTCAGTGAAATGTTTACTTGATTTTCTTCCTTGGTTTTTTAAATATGTAGTTTTACTTGCCTTGGATTGTGACATTCAGGCACACCACAGTGTCAACATCCTAAAAGAAAAGTCACCCACACCAAGGCACAGAATGCTCCCAGGGTTGCATGCACTGAGCCCTGCTCTGTGAGGTACGTGGGGCCTCTCACTTCAGCATGCTGCGTTGGGGACTAGCAGTGCTTGGATCTGAAGTCTGTGCAGGCATCCTGGGAAGTAGGACTGTTTACAGTGTTCTTCTAAATAAACACTTGAATCTCTGTCCCAAGGAAAAGGCTCCCCATATTGTAAAGAATATGTGTTTTCCACTCTTTTGCCCTGAGACCAAGCTGGAGAACTGAGACATATGGCTAGAGAGAAAAGAGACTTTAGATTAAAGAGTCATTCTGCAACAACCAGCAGTAAGGATGATGACACAACCACATCTCACAAGTGCTCACAAGTTCTGGGGATTTCTTAATCAAGAGTGGCTCTCACACTGGCTCAGAATCAACTTCAAGATCAGCAAGAAGTCATGGGACTTAGCCAGTTTTCCAGCACCTATGATTGTATTTATTCTGAAATACTCCTCAGTTTTTGTGAGCTTGCAGACCACGCCAGTGTGGCTATATCTCCATGATCTTGTGGCAGAGGGGCTAGAACAGGTGTCAAGGAAGTTAAAGCAGTGTGTCAGGGCCTGGCTTCTGGCCCTGTTAGAGCTATCATGGGGAGAGAAGATCTTATTTTGACTGGAAGGAGAGATCCAGGTGGACCTGACGGAAGGTAATGGTAAGTTCTGAGGTTGTGGCATTTTATGTTAATGGCACATTTAAGGCTGCAGTGCGGAATTGGCATTCGCTACATTAGATTCGGTAGTAGTTGCTATTTTCCATAGTGTTGAGTCCAGACCCCTGAATTTTGAGAAGCCACAGGTGAAATCCAGGATTTTATATAAATCCAAAGAAAAGCACAAGATCTGAGTCTAGGTAATAATGAATCTTACAAATCCTGGTTCTTTCAGGACTTCATATTAACATTAAATTTTTATGTTTCTAAGGTAATATATTATAGCATTCTGAAATTAAATGAAGCTTTCCGGTGTGTCAGGATTTCCATCTCTGTTTTTCTTAATCTTTCCATTATAAAATGCTGCCAAAGCATTCATAGAATAAAGCTGTTTCTGGTGGAAACAGAGAAAAAAAAATCAGGCGGAAATGAAGTATTTCTTCTTCCTGTAGCAAAAGGGCTATACAAAACCAGGCCATTGCAGACTGAGCTCTTGCCATGGTTGAAGCTTTGTAACATTATTCTCTGCACTGGTGAATGGGGCATGGCACCGAGATTCCCTTCACCTAGCTGAGCAAGTGATCCTGTTCTAAGTAATCCATAGTTCTTTCCTTTTAAATGAAGATATTGCTTGCTTCTTTAGTGCCGAGTGCTTTGCAAAGCCCAGTTGGCTAGGGCCCCAAAATATAAGGTCCCTAATGTTTAATTTAAATGTTCCATATTCAAGGGATATACAGTTGTAATTCTTCTTCCTGGGCATATATGCAGAAAATGCTGTTGGGGCTCATTTCCCGAGAGTGTGGTGTAAGTTCGCAGAACCTGACTAGGCCTGGTGTCTTATCTGGACTGTACGATGAAATGTGCAGGGCTTAAAGAAATCTACCAGCGTGTTTGTGGGTTCCTGAGGTACATGCTTTCCCAATAAGTGCTAAATTACTTTGTAGTGGTAAGGGGAAACAAATATAAATTAATACCATCAAGTATGCAAATGGACAGGAAGTTCTGTGCATCATTGTCACTCTAATTCCACTGACTTCTGAGTACATTTTGGCCCTCTGCCTCAGGTTGTTTCCCGGTATTTGCCACCATAGTTTTGTTGCTCATGAATGTTCACTGGGACCCTCAGGAGTAAATGGATGAAATGACAGGTGATTTGCCAAGAAACTTTACCTTTAAGTTCAGATGATTCTGAATAGCTCTTTACTGCCCCAAGAGAATCACTGTCTCCTTAGCGTTTGACTCCCCAAACTTCCTGCTAGGATCAGTGGGCTGGGAATATCCACTACAAAACATTACTGATTTTCTTAAAATACCACAATCATAAACGCTGTAAAAATATTATAAAACTACTCTGCTTTAAGCATATAATATTTTAGCATCTTTGTGGTATTTTAGTGTTTTCTGCAACAAAACGTGTTCTTAGAACTTTTCAAAAATTTTTTTCTTTGTGGTGCTGGAGATTAAACACAGGGCCTTGTGCTTATAAGGCAAGAAGAACTCTGTCACTGAGCCACACCCCAACACTCAAATTCATTTATAAGACAATTTAGATAAGACGCCTCCCCTCTCTTTTCTGGAGTGAATCCCACAGCCCAATGAGGCAACCCCATCAATGATCTAGAGACGTTTGCTGTGCGTCCCTTCCATCGTCTCATCAGATACCACTTTCTTCCATCTTCTAGCCACTCTCCACCCCCTGCTAATTACAGGCTAGTACAGTGTGCCGGCCGAAGGCATGGGCATTAGGTGATCCAGATGCACGCTGTCACAGTGTGGCTTCCAGTCTTCTCAAGTACATTATTCTGCTCCTCACTCCCTCCAGTCATTAGAAGTATACTTGATTGGAACCCAGAACTTGGCAAAAATACTTAGATCAAATAACACAGGCTTGCTCACAAGTTTCAGCCCAATAAGAAGCACAGCACTTTGAACAATTAAATATAGGCCTTCAGTAGCTCTGTACATCTGTGATTTTACACTTGTTATTAGTCGATAGCACTAATAACGCTTCAGTTATGAATCTACAATATCAATATGATTATTGTAGAACATATTCACAAGTAATATTATTGCTGCTATTATACTAATTTACACCACAATACTAAATATTAAATACAGATTGTTATGCATTATTTGTATTGTATATATGCCAACTGTAACACTTAACTTCACTGTTCAGCAATTTGAAAATATAGAAATTGTCATAGTGAAAATAAGTCTTGCTCAAATCAGATGATTTATACATCTGATAAATGCTCTATCGTGTTACATTTTGCCCTGTGTTATTCATAGAGTGCATGTTTGCTAAGTTAATAAATTATATCAATTTAATGTTAGGATAAAAATTCTGCATATGTGCTGCTTAATACTCTTAAAAAATGTATTTTGTGTCTTAATTCTTATCTGCACACATTTCATTTGGCTTTTTTCCCCTCTAGGATGTAAGTATTCAAATACCGCTCTTCTTTCTTGTATCCTCGGTTAAATTGCTTAGTTCAGCCTAGAACATTGTAAAGCCAAATACCTCATTCTAATTGAGAAAAAATGTTAATGCGTGTAATGACATGGTGTGTTTTCTTGTACTCGATTTGAAGTACTTCAGTGGATTTTGACCTAATAATAAATACAAAACTTTGACCTACATTTTTCCTTTGTACAAATGAACATTTTATTATTGATCTACTTTTTATTTAAAGCACTAAGGACTCAATGTCACTGAAATGCTTCATTATACAACATTGAGTGAAAATCTTCTCAGCCCTTTCTAGCACATTCTAGGGTTAGCTACATTTGCCTGTAGTCCCCAAGAGGAGTTGTGTGTGAAATATGTGCCCCTGGCTTCTCCAGGATCGCCTTTAACACCTGCTGTTTCCAGTAGATGCGCACCAGACTTTACAGACCTCTATATCTCACGTGACCACCAACTGTAGCCCAATTAATTTGACTTGTTGCTAATTGCCCAGAAATAGAACAATGCTGAGGATATGTACTCGTGCACACAGTGAGAGTGGACCTGCGGTTTTTCTTTCAATCCAGATTTCAGTATGTTATTCTGGTTATTTTAAATAGAATATCTAACAACATGTAATTTTAATGAATTTATTTCTTTATCCTCTACAAAAATAATGAATTGATAGCAGAAGCTGTTTATATGACTTTAGCAGAGGTCAAATTACTTCTAAGGTATATTTATTATAGTCAAATATTAGAACAGGTAATTAGGAATAAAGATGTATGTGCATATATAATTATAGTATAGTTCTATGAGTGATATATAGTATAGTACAGCTATACTATAAGAATATACTATGAATACCATAATAAAAAAGTTGTGCTTGTATATGTAGTATTCAGTAAAATATAAAATACCATCCTGCTGTCTGATTGACTCTATCAAGTACCACATTCAGTAATTCTCCTTTGTTTTTTCAATGATAGATCACACAGTGTAGGTCAGGCCAGGTTCAAATGTAAGCGAAGCAGGTATAACCTGCATAGTGTGACTGCAGAGAAAACTTCCTTTCTGCTCAATATTTGAATATGTACTTTACTTGAGAGATTCCCTCTCTGAGGAGTTGCATTATGCATGAACTCTTTTATATCTAATTACAGATTAATTTATTATATTATGATTAGGTTATACACATAGTAAATGAGCAATCCTGGGTTTGTATTCCCACTTTGTCACATCCTGGTTGTATGACGGTTGGTAAATTCTGTATCTGTGTTTCTGTGTATATAGAATAATGGACTAATTCCTTCTATGAAGGTAGTAAAACAAGAGACCTAGAAAACCAAATAACATGGATGTAAAACATGTTAGCACAGAACATGGCACATAGTAAATACTCAGTAGTAGCTATTAGTCTTTCACTGGGGACTGGGACTTCGCATCTACCTTCACCAAGTAGCATCCAATACAATCGTTTTAATGTGATTTATTGGTAACCTTTGAGTTGATTGAATTATGTAGCAAAAACTAATGATTGAAAGAATGCAGGTATATTTATACAATGAAAGAATGTGAAAGGTATTTGTGTCACAGGATCAGAGCCTGTACAGGAAAAGGTCAAAGCAACTAGAGATGAGCTTGGGTGCTTAAACGAGGCCTTTGTCTTAATCAGTGGGAGAAGTAGTCACAGGCAAAGAGATGTATGAGACATGTGATGAAGACAACCAGAGACTTCATGCCAGGAATTATGCTGGGTTCTCACCCCTAGAAGCTTCCTCCTCTGGGGGTGTTCATAATATAGATTTCTAGATTCAATCCTTAGAGATTTTGGTTATTTCTTAAAATATATCATAAGAGAAGTCAGTGGAAATGCATGTTTTGGTGCATAGCCAATTACTCAACCAAATATACCCTTCTCCAAGAGCAGGAACAATACCCCTGGTGGTTACATGAAGATCTGGAGTAGAACATGGGTTCACCTTAACAAAAAATATTAATAATCCAGTCAACTCAGATTAGTTTAAAAAGTCTCAATTATGGGTCATACTTTCTCTCCTTCATCAAAAAGGCAATAGTATCTAGCTGAGGATAACATTTTTTTCATTCATTTTGTAGTACTTGCTTCAGCAGCACATATACTAAGATTGGAATGATACAGAGATTAGCATGGTTCCTGCTCAAGGATGACATGCAAATTTGTATTCATTTTGTAGTTTCCTTCTTTTCATAGTAAGTGATTTAGAATGTTCGATGATCAAAAATTTCATTTCAAAGCAAATACAAGATTTTTAAATAGTGCCTGAGAAGAAGCTGTGGAAATAAGTTTTTGATCCTTTCCAGTTTAAAAAAAAAAAAAAACCGAAACTAGAATTGTTGATTCTATTACACACTTTTGCCTAAGACTGAGTTAGCTTATACTCTTTCTAAATATTCATCATGTTCATATAACCTCCATGTTCTTTTGGGGGAGGCAAATTTAACCTGGGGAAATAAACATCTTGGAGTCAGTCCTATGGCTGTGCTGGGTATAAATGAAATGCAGTGGGCAAACCCCACTTCATCAACTTGGAAAGTGATTCCTTTTCTGATTCCTGAGGTTAGAATGCCTGAATGTCCTGGATTTTTTGTTGTGGCTCTTCCCTACCCCATCGGAATTCTTGATCAACAGTACATTTTTGTTTACCCCTCTGCAAATCTACTCACTATGACCAAAGGAGTGTTATTATTTTTAAGACTTGAAACCTTTCATTCTCAGAGAGGGTAGGAGTTTGCAAGGAAGGGACTGAGGCCAAAGCCCAAGTGCCTCGAACCTCACCCAGTACAGCTTGGACAGATGCCACTAAAACAAAAGCACTAGTCAGACTGTGGTGTTTTTACAGCTGGGCAGTATTTGGGGTAATAAGAGGAGAGGAAACATAGAAGTGTCAGCCTTTGTCCAGCGGCATCATGCAATTGCAAGAGCCTTAGGCAGTCAGATGGCTTCGACCTAAGGGGCCAGGCATCCAAAGAATAGGATTTATCCCTTACAGAAAGATCCTGAGAAGCAAAGTTCTTATTGCAAGAGGAGACTAGTGAAAATTGTTCTTTGTTTAACCTGAGAACTTAGCTATTTTTTGGCTTGAAAACTTCCTGTCTTGATCCTTACTGGGCATTTAGTCAGTTTAACCTCAGGGGTTTCATTTCTAGGGCCTCTAGTGCAAGAGGAAGGAAACATTGACTGACATTTGCCAAAGCCTCCCCCACCAACAACCTTGTAAGCATAGAACTAAACTGCTCCATAGCTGGAAAGCCAGTGAATGGCTTTAGAACTGAAATGCCTCAAAAAAAAAAAAAAAAAAAAAAAGCCCAGACTCCGTCTTTCACAGAGAGCAGGTTGGTCGGGCAGTGGCCTTGGCTCATCCACATGGCTGACACTGATGGGGGATCTGCAAACTGTGGTGCAGGGTTTCAGGATGGATCCTGGGGGGGTTTGACTGACCTTGTCAGATGCAGGGGTTGCATTTCTTGTTGTGTAGGTCTTGCTTTGTCTTGGTCTTGGCCATCCAGCAGAAGTATAGAAGTGAAGTGTGGATGGTAGAGCCATATTAATGTGCTGAGCTGTGAGGGGCTCAGGTCAACAGCCTCTGACATTGCCAGTCTTGCGGAGAACCCACTGCTATTGTGGACTGCTGGACTATGTTGGAATGTTTTGCTGGATTCACGCACCTACAATGTTTGGATGACGGTGCAATGCCCTTCTCTGACAGGGCTGGGCAGAAAGGGGGCGGGGATGCAGATGGGCGGCCATTTTGTATCTGTATGCTCGGGGTGGTTAGGATAGGTGTACAGCTCTACTCTCTTGGTTTAGTGAATGGAGAGATTCGTTCTGGTGGTGTTTGTGGACAGGATGTCATGTCTGCATCTTGTGCAATGGGTGACCACGGGGACAACAATATGCAGTGTGTTGCTTGTTGAAGCTGTGCTGGTGATCGGTTTTGAGGCTGTCTCGTTGCTGTTTGTTTCTCAATAGAATTGTTCGAAAAAAAAAAAAGAGGAAAAAAAAAGGTAAAGGGAGTGAGGAGGAGAACTAAAAAACATTAAGATAATTAAAAAAGAATGCCCAGAATCTCAGGTGAATGTGCACTTTTTTTTTTTCTGGTTAGAGGATCCATAGCTTTCACTATATTCTCAAAATGAATATAGAACTTAAAATGTTGTGAACCACTATGTTTCCAGTATCTTTGAATTATCACTAAGTGTTAAGCAAGTAACAGTGGATGAGATGGAGAGATGGAACCAGAATCCAGGTTCTGCAACCTCCCCTAATGCTGCTTCTGAAATTTCTGACTGCCTTGCTAAGTGTCTTACGTGCAGGGAAGAAGTAGAACAAGGAGTTGGCATGGCAAGAGGGCGGACCTTGGCTTAGCCACTTGCCAGTTCAATTATTTAAATACAGGATGACTAAAAAGTTCATTTTTTACTTTTATGAGATAACATGACAGGAAATACAAAAATAACAGTTTTATCAAATGTATTCAATAACTTTTCTGTGTATGGTATGGCTTAAAACATTCAATACACAGCAGTGTTGTAATCTGGACAGTAGTCTCTTTCTGAATTCTTTTTAAATTATTGACTTTCTTTGAACAACACACTTTACACTGTTGTGTCGGCCTTTCCTTTTTTTTTCTGTGGATGGTATAATTTCAATACACATCTACCAATCCAACATAATCGTGAAGACATTGATGATGGATGCCCTGGTTGGCATTTTGCTATCCCGTACTTTTTGATTATTTGGTCTATTAGACGTAACCTAAATTGTGAGTGGCTTTTTGAACTCCCTTGTTGTGAATAAATAACAAATGAGGTCCATATTGTTTGGTCCAAAAAGTGCATAAATATTTTATGATAATATTTTTTCTCCCTTTTTGATTCCAGGATAGCTTGTTAGATGTTGGTTGACTCTGTCAACACTGCCCATAGAACTATTATCATCACTGACCACTGATAGAACTTTTGTTTTGTTTCTTCTTTCAAGTTATATTATTTTTGTATCATGGATAGTTGACAATAAGGTGACATCCTTTTTCTTTCCATTTCATAACACAGATTTTTTCTCTCTGATGTGCTACCATTTCTCCTTTTTTTCAGTTTTTCCTTTTGCAGACCTTTTGGCACTTCCTTCCGGTTCAGTCTTAGGGTCCCAGATGCATCCATTTTGTACCACAAAAAAATCACTGTGTTCAGGAGAAGTGTAGAAGTTTTATAGACTATAGCATAAAATTATAGGATTTTTTCACTAATAAGACAAACATGAATTAAAGGAAATAGAATTTATTACTAGATCTCATTAGAAGCAAATGTCAAAGCTAAATACAATGTCATAAATTTTAGAAGCATGCAAAAAATACTTGATGTAAATGCAAACAGGAGGTGACTGAGTCCAAACCAGGCATGGTGGCACCTGCCTATAATCCCACCACTTGGGAGATTGAGACAGGAGGATTGCTATGAGTTGGAAACCAGCCTGGGGGCTATAATAGTGAGCAAAAGGCCAGCCCAAACTGCATAGTGAGACCCTGTCTCAATAAATAAATAAATAAATTGGTTGAAATGACACCTCCCCAAGCGACACTCCATGTACTCAGTACCTACACAGATGTACTGCCTGAGTGATAGCTGGGGTAAACTGTTAAGTGGCTAATAACATCTCTCTTATATCCATGGGATGCTAAGTGAAATAGTGAGTTCACCACCATGAAGAGTTTTAAGGGGATTGTGCATTATTACCTGTCACTGCTGTAACAAATTACCACAAACTCAGCAACTCACAAGAACACAAATCTATTCCTTCTAGGTCTGGAGTCAGAAGTTTACGATGAGCCTTGAGGACCATGCTCCTTTTGAAGGCCCAAAGTAGTGGAGCAGAACTGTCAGTTCTAGGGCTGGCCAGATAGCTAAGTGGATTCAAGTGCCTGCAAATAGGTGCAGGGGCCAGGAGTTCGATCCCCAGGCCTGCTGTGCCGGCCCTGCCCCCAGGGCTCCCTGAGATGGCAATTGAGACTGGGCATGGTGGCGTACCCCTGTAATCTCAGCACTTGGGAGGCTATAAACAGGAGAATCACTACAAGTCTGATCTAATAGTGAGACCCTAAACACCTTGTAGACCCTTCCCTAAAATACAGGAAAAAAAGAGCTGTCAGTTCTGACTATGCAGCTCTTAGGTACATGTCTGATTCTTCTCTCTTCTAAGGGGCTTTGTGATTCCTCTGGGGCCCACCTTAACATGATCACCATATCTGCAAAGCCTTTTGTACTGGGTAAGATAACACATTTCTAGTTCTGGACATTAGGTGTGGGAATCTTTTGGGAGGTATTATTCTACTCCGCCCCCCAACTCTGGGGAGTATGTCATGGAAGCTTTATTTTTAACTGGCACTGATATTAGAGCAGATTTGTGTTTTAAATTCAGCTTTTTCATCTGCCTGTTAACTGACCATTCCCCTTTGAGCCTCTGTTCCCCCAACCGTAAAAACGAATAAAATCCCAGGGCTATAATGATCATTATTATCATTATTGTGATAACATATATGAAGTGTGTAACATACAGTGTACTCTTAATAAATGCAGCCATATTACTACAAAAATGGCCAGATGATTTTTCACCAGACAAGAAGTACCTTAACTCTTGGGAGATTTGGGGCTTGGTAGATAGCTCAGTGGTCTAAGCACCTACCTGGCAAGCACAAGGACTTGGGTTCAATACTGCATGCCTTGCCAGCCTCAGAGCCCCGGGCACGCCATGCTGGCCCCAAAACCAGTCATGAAGATGCATGCATGTAGTCCCAGTGCTAAGGACTCTGAGACAGAAGGATCACTATGGGTCTAAGCTGTGTAGCAAGACCCTGTACCAAGTAAATTATATTAAAAAAAAAAAAAGATTAAGTGGGAGATTTGATAAAATGGTCTCCAAATCTCCTAAGACTGATGAAATCTAAAGGAGTAAAATGTTCTTCTTTCATACAAATTATTCTCAAGGCCTCTGGTCCATTTCATAGATCCCATTACAAAGTAATGGCTTTGCTGCATGGTCCCTAGCTTTCAATCTCTGCTTTCTGCTCTTTATTGTCCCACACCCAGATTTTGTCAGTCAGCTCTCTGGTTGGATTTGTTCAGGACTCGAAGCCTGCCCTGGCGTGTGATGATTGGCTCGGCCAGCGGCTGGGACGAGCGTAGA